GCGGTGTTGACTGTGGCTTTGACGCAGACTTCGGATGGGGAAATTACATGCAGGAGATGGTGCTGAATGCGTATCTTGCTTATGCATCCGGTCGCTCGTGAGTGATTTGCAGGATACCAGATTACCAGCTCACGGGTTCCAGCTACGTATTCGACAACTACACCTGGGATAAAGCTGGTCCCGACATCGGAAATTACCACAAGAAGCCAACGCCTGCTCGCATACCGCTTTCTGCCCTCATCTCAGGTGTGAATCCCAAGGTGATCCTCAAGTCATAGGCTCACTGGCAATCGTAGGGCCAATGATCGGGGGCCCGATGTCACAGTCGGACATCCCGCGAGCAGTCTCTCGTGAATACTTCCTCGAAGTCTGCCCGCCAGAGGAGATAACGAGCTTGGATACGCGCAAAGTGCAAGCAACGCTAAGCCCTGAAGCGACGGTGTCTGACATCGTGGAGAAATGGGTCACGGAATTGAACTACCTTGGAGCGAGGTGCATCGAGATATCGACCCTAAGCCCGGCGCTTTTCAGTTACCGGTATGTCATCTCGCGGCGCGCATGTCTCCGCGACTAATTGTATGCAGAATAACTAACACGGAGCGCGTACTGGACGTCTTCCCCTCGCTGTCGGCTTCTCCCATTCTCGCCGATTTCGGCTGGTCTCCGCTTATAATGGAGGAGTTCTACAAGAACATCCGGCATTTCACCTCCCACCGCACGAAGAAACTTTCGCTCGCCCAGTCGCCAACCACGCCACTGAAGGGCCTGCTCACCTTGCATGTGAGACGAGGGGATTATGAAGAATTCTGTACAGAATTCACAAGCCAGGGGGGCTCTTTCACCGGTTTCAATCGTTTCCCAGAACTCATAGACAAATATGTCTTTGTGAGCAACGATTCGCACTCAACGCAACTCGATATTGCAATGCGACACTGCCTGCCCCCAATTTCCGCAATCGTTGAAAAGGTCCAGGCTGTTGCCAGTCCCCACATCAAACAGATCTATATTATGACCAACGCGCATGAGCCGTGGCTCGGCGAGCTTATCGACGCGCTGCGTTCTTTGAGACATTGGAAACACGGGATCAGTCATAGCCGACAGCTCGAATTGTCTTGGGAAGGAAAATATGTCTCGGAGGCGCTGGACATGTATGTGGGACAGCGCTCAGAGCAGTTCATTGGTAATGGGGTGAGTCTCTTATGCCCAGTCCACTGCGTCTTCTGAAGCTAACGTCTGTGTAGTTTTCCAGTCTTACTTCGAATGTGGTTATGCTGCGAATGCGTAACCCAGATCTACGTTCCGAGAATACACGATTCTGGTGAACAACGGCCGTATCGTAATGATAGACCTAGAATATTCCTCCGTTATAATTCTGTATGCCAGTGTACATTCCCGATACAGGCACGACGCGATCACGGGAAATCGTACCTTTCCGGATTGGATCGACAGGGGCAAACCCCGCACTCGCCTTCTTCGTACTTCCGCTTCACGAAATGTCTCGGATTCGCTGCGCTCTCCTAAACTTGTTCTCCTTCGTCCTGCCATGGCCATCACGCACTTTGAAGAGCCTCGCCCTTCACAGGTCAAGGTGGCGGGGGCGGTGACTTTCTACATCGTCGCCGCATTGGTGGTGCGCTTTTTCATCCACATCGCACTCCGAATGTCTCACTCGCGTCTAGATGGTTCTCGTGAACAAGGCTGTTCTCAATAAGACGCCAGACCTTCCTTTCAGCTTCCTTTTCATACAACTCGTCATTGCGGTCCTACTCTTGCGCTTCATAGCGCTGATTTCCAGAACGGGTTTGTTTTCTGGAGAAGTGGAGCTTCCAACGCTGGATAGGACCACCGCGACGAAATTGCTGCCTTTTCTCGTTGTCGGATTCATCGGGCTCGTGTTCAACACTCTGTGTCTGGCGAACGTCGATGCTTCGTTCTTCCAGGTCTGTACCTCGCTCTGAAACCGAGCATGCATGCTTAATCTCGCTGACGTGCTGCAGATCGCGCGAGGCCTTCTTCTGCCTTTCACTATTCTTGTCGCCTCCCTGTGCACGAAAACGATGCCCAAGCCAGTCGTCCTGTGCGCTGCCGGGATTGTTTCTCTCGGGTTCTTCATCGGAGTCGCACCGTCGTTTCTACCAGGTTCGACGTCGGGAGCGGCGCGCGAGCCCATCAAAGCGCTGGTGTACGGTGTCATCTCCTGCATGGTCCTCTCTGTGCATGCCGTGCTGAGCAAAGTCGCGACATCGAACGTGAACAGCTCGGCGCTGGCTATCTCGTACTGGGGCAACCTGCTCATGAGTGTCATGGTCGCGCCGCTGGTGGTATTGAATGGTGAGCTCGGCAAATTGCACACCAGGTGGATCTCGCCGGAGCAGGACTGGTTGATCACATTCGTTGTGGGGAGTGCGGTGACGGGGGTGTTTGGCTTCATGCTGGGGATCGCGAGCGTGGTGTCCATCAAAGTCACAAGCCCGATCTCGCATATGTTCTCTGCGGTGAGTCTCCTCTCTTGAATGCGCTGCTGAAGCTGATGGCGTTGAAGGCTGCCAAGAGTGTGATCCAGATCGTTCTGGGTGTATTCTTCTTCGGCGACGTTATGAACATCTACCGGTTCACGGCCATTTCACTCATCACTGGCGGGACAATATTTTATACATGGATCCAGTCGCATCCGCCTCCATCACCGAGCAGGGCGGTTGGCGATGTGGAAAAACAGAGTGAAGAGATGCGTCCCTTGGTCAAACATCACGAGGAAGATGAGCTGGAAGAGGTTTCCACGCCGACGGATATGCTAGCTGAATCAGAGAATGTGAAGGCATCAGACTTGAAGATGTTAACGTAGCACAAGCCATGTATGAGGTCATATCCTGCAATCAAGGTAGTTGCTGCAGTTGAGCGGACAGTGGTGATCAGCCTGGCTGACAAATGAAAAAGTTACGACCACTGTGCGATTCGAACACACGCGGGGAAACCCCAACCGCTGGACTATCACTCGAATAGCAGGCGATCACCTTAACCACTCGGTCAAATGGTCCTTACGATCGAAACGTGGTATATGTATGTGACTCAGTTTTTTCACTCCGTTCATCCGATTGTTCTCTTGTTAGACCCTCTGTAAACCAGGCTCGTAGAAGGCAAAAGGTGCACCTCGTTCTGAGCAAGTCTAAACCATGGGTAGTAGAACCGAATTCGCATACCAACAAGTCTTGCACGCGTCGCGGATGCTGGCGCGCCGGTCGGTCACGGGGTCGTGCCGTATACTGTGCCAACTCACGGTCCGAATAGCCCAATCAGCACCACAACCGTGTCTCGTCTTCATTAGTACGACAAGATTCCATTCACCAATCTACACATCCGAATGCCTTGTCTGATCTGAGGCCGCTGTCATAACAATCTGTATCAGCAATTTAGGAGAAACGATCGCTGCCACATAACCTGTAACGAACAGTACCTTGTTCTCCGCCACCATGAGCTACGAGAAATCCACCAACACTTCCCGCCTGGGGCGGGCCCCCGGCCTGGATGACTTCGTACTCGGCTTCGTCGGTGCCAGTACACCACCGTCGCAAACGCTGGACCACACTCTGCGATTCTTGTCGACTTGGTCGGGTACGGAGTGAGTCGGGATTCTTTCCCGCGGGTGGTCGTCGTTCTGAGCAGAACCCGCTTTCACAGTAAACTCATGATGGTTCGTCGGCGTCGTTGCTCGCTCGAAACATATCCTGTGTCGAACTCACTGCCGCGCTCAGTCGACACAATACGCGGCCCGCCTAATCGCTCCTGCTCTCGTGTACCGTGCCCTCTTGCAATTCAACGCGAAGAAACGAACGCAACCTGCTTCATTAACGAGTGAGGGACTGCTCAAATTCGCGGGTCAGATTAGCATTGCGCGGCGGATTATGGGCTTCTGGGGTGCGCAGCTAGCAGTTTGTCTCTGTCTCTCCTCTTCTGACGCGTCTTTCACTAGGACTGCTCGGAATACTGAAAGGCCTCTCCTCCCTCGAACGCTCGCCTCCGGCGTCCCGCCTTGCGCTTAACCTTGCCCGTCTGCAAGGACTGTCAATGATCGTGTTCTATCCCCTCGAATACATCTCATTCTTTTCTGCCCCCTTTGCACCGGTCTTGCGTATCTCGCCGTCTCTGGCAGGAAAGGCGGGGCTGTGGAGTGTACGCGCATGGGGCGTGTATGTGCTCTTGAAGATCGTCGAGCAACTTCACCAGTGGCGCGAACTGTCGAATCAACAGGAACAGATCTCTCTGGGCGATGACGAAAAAGCTCAGGCGGCACGAGTGGTCAACAAGCAGAAGCGATACGTTCTTGCGCATCACCTCTTGGCAAATGTGTCGCGTCTGCCGGTCATCTTGCATTGGTGCGTTTTCCGCGCGTCTGGATGCGGCCTTTCCCGCTCATTTTGGAACAGGTCCGTGGTCGGAGGCGTATATAGTAACGAGGTCAGTTGTTCACGCGTTTCCATGAACTACGACGGCTAATCGATCTTCAGTTGCTGACGAGCGCGTTATCACTCATATCTGGTCTGGCGGCGTTCCGTGGTGGATGGGAAGGCAGCCGAATCCCTGCCCCCATGAAATGATGATACCTTCTGCATAATTAGTATATTTCGTTCATAGTATCCATGTGCAATCTTTGCCTATAATTGTCAGTATATTTATGGCACGGCCAGCGATTCACTCCACCCGGCATGACTGGATCTTGCTGTCACTTCCGATGAAGACATTATTGCCAGGCAGCATGTTCTATGACGCCTAGCTTCGAAGCTTTCAAGTTCGCCGCGCATTTCGGTTAGGAATGACAAGTATAGATTAACATATGATACGTATGGAGATCGGAGTGATGCTAAATGCGAGTTGTCGGTGGCCCGGAATGGGCTGTCGAACATCTTTGTGTTGACTGCAACTTCAAGGTCGGGCAATCGGCGGGGGCGTATCAACTTCTCAGCTTGTGTCATCCCACGTGATATCTTCACAGACAGACACCCAATGTCGGACCCAAAAAATCACCATACATCATTCAACACCTCGCTAGCATAGCGAGTAATCCTATGGCTCGTAAAATTCATCAATCTCGAGGAACCATCAAGGACTATCGAACTGGAGAAAGTTCCGCTCAACGGCAGAATTCTGGTTAAGACTGCTGCTCTCTTTCGATCCACGCAAGGGCTACACGATCTGCGCAGTGGATCCGCCATCCTATGTTTCAAGTGTGCGAGTTTGCCCCGATCTTGAGCTTGACTGATCGCCCGAAAGGCTCGCATATACTGTAGGTGAGCATCACTGTCAACTCTGTCGTAAGAAAGTCGATCTGAAGTCAGCTGGATAGATGACTGGCATTGGCATCGGTGCCATAAACTCGTCTGCAAATCTAACGACGTACATAATTTGGCGACTACGTTTCCCGTGTGTTTGTCCTTATTCCTTGTTCTGTACCAAGCGATTGATCCGCAAGTGACAATCCTAGTTCACCAAGACAACATTGTAATCTCGTCCCAGAAATGATGCGAGAGACGTCGATCAACGACCCACTCCCGAACATCGCCTGGCAATGTCAGTCGCACCACCAGGGATGACTAGTGAATTGGACGATTGAGTTGTCGAATCTCCAGGCCTGACGCGGCTGTCCGTCCTAGGCCAGACGGCATTTTGCGTCCGGAGGGCATGCTCCCATGGCAAGCCGGTATGTACAATCCAGTCTGATTTCGATTATACTAACGTCATGTGTAGGGTCAATTCAACTTCCTCTATATCGGGGGTCGGTTCAGCCGGGTCTCTAATCGTACAGCTCGCAAAGCACGACCGCCTGGAGGTTAACGTCCCCGCTGTTGCAGACCGCAAGGTTCTGTTCGCTCAGAGATGCTGGCGTCCCGTTCAACTGCAATATGACGGACGTCAGGACTGGGTAGAACGATGTAGGAGGGATGAACAAGTGTCTCTCCTCCTGTATCATTTCATCTCGAAGATTGAATGTGTCATAGATAGCTGGGACAGCGTCGATGGTGATATGACTGATGCGCTCATGAGTGTCAACGCACATGCTCGTCTCATGGTACTCTGCCTCCCTGTGCGATTTAGGAAGAACTTCTGAAGCCTTCTTCTTAGGCGTGCAGACACATCGGTTTGTTTACTACTGCCATCGAGCCCGGGCCATCAAGGTGCTGAGTGTCATCCGCTCTTTCCTGCGATGTCAATTTCCTTCAAGAACGTCAACTGAAGGGAGACAATACGGGGAAGGCAGTCGCACCGGAGAACCAGTCCGCTTGAGTCAAGCTTGAGTGGCATTGTAGGCGCTTGGGTTGGTCATCGTTGATGACTTATCTGTAACTCAGATCATTGGACTGGCGGTCTATTGCTCACCTCAGCGATCGCCGGACCAGCAAGAGATTGAGCACAATCTACGTCAGCATCTTCGCGCGTCTTGTTCAGCGGACCTCAAGCGTTACGTGAGCCTTGTTGCGAGTTTCATCGCATAACGTAGTGACAGGAATCTCAGTGGCAGTGCGATTTTCGTGCTGCCAGCATCTTAGGTCCTCTGTTACATCTTGCAGATGTCTTCCACTCCACTCGTCTTCTCTATTCCCCCGAAAGCGGGGAACACCTCTGACGCAAGGAACACCTCGCATCCCCAGTGAGAATGTATCTGACGGATCTGAAACTGTACCCTGATAGGCATTAGGGTCATCGTCCTGCTCCCATGGTGTAAGCAGGCTCCCGTCTGTGTCAGCCTTGTTGTAATGCTCTTTCGCGCTCCCAGTGGATGCCAAAGCATCGCATCTCAAGTATTACACGTCGAAATACGCGTCCCTTTATCCGAGCGCGACGCAGATTGTCATCCAGTCTGACTACAAGGCTCTCATTGGTGGTACAGCTTTCAACGTGCGTACGAGAATGTGTTCGACACAGATTGATGTTCACAATGGTTAGACAGGCTGAACGGCTTGCGCCCGCTGTCGAAATCTTGACTCAGCTCGGTGTGCTGAGTGCTGCTCCCCCACCCATCTTATTCCACGCCATGTCCGGAGGTCAAACCTTTCACCCTGAACCGGTTCACTTGACTGACGGGATTGAACAGGTGGAGTAGCCCAGGTTCTCCACCTCGCCATCGCCATCCGCCGACAGCATCTCCCAAATGTCCCGCCCTCGCATAAAGTGCCCGTCGCCTTCGTCTTCGATTCAGGACCGAGCACATACTACGGCTCTGACCTCCGCAACGCCATGACGATGACCTACCCACCCGGCGTGCAGAAGGCCGCCGTTTTCATGACGGCGCAGCTCCTCTGGACTGATTTGTGTGCTCGCGCTGCCCTGGGTCTGGCTGAACTTCCGCAGGACGTGGTTCTGCCCGGGGTACTCAATCCAACTTTATTTCCGTGGACGGAACGTGCGACACCGCGGCTGTATGTCTTTTCGGATACCGACGCCATGTCCTTGGTGCCGGGTGTGCGAGCCCACGTGCAAGAGGCGAGGGAGCGCGGGCTCAATGTGTCGGTGGAGGAATTCAAAGGCAGTCGGCATGTTGGCCATGCGTTTGCTGACCCGAAGCGATACTGGGGTGCGGTCCAACGGGTTTGGGACGAAGCAGTGATCGTGAAAGGTCAAAGCAAGTTGTAATTGATTGTAGATAAATCAGATCAGGAGATTAGATTCTATCAACATGGGATGCCTCTCAGTACAGGAAGTACTTCGCCGTGTACCTGACCGAGATGTTGGCTGAACCAGGAGTGCACTAGGAATATCAACACGTTAATCAATGCCATTCAAGTCTGGAGAAGCCTCTGAAAGCTCACGGAAGTGGGAGGTTGGCCACCAACTGTGTCAATCCGGAAAATCTTGGACGCGAGCGAGCCTTGTACACCATTCAAAGCGAGCCAATCGACATTTGTTGCCGCGTTGCTCGGAGCAAGGATGTCTCCAACTTTGGCCCCGATTACGATGGCAGATGGGTTGTGTTGCGGGACGGAGAAGTCCCACTCGGGGGAGATGCCGGTGCCGGTGGGTGAGCGCACGAAGTAGTGCGACTAGAGGTAGAGTTAGCTGGTTTGTCCAAAGATCTCGACGCATCACAAACTGACCCCGAGCAGTGCACCAGTGCCAATCTCGGCGCCAATGTCGCTCGCCTCAATCGCCGGCGCCGCGCGGCTCCAGCTATCGAAAGCGGTCTGCTGGATGGTCGCGAATGCGGGTGTTTTGTCCATGCATGCGATGTCAAACAGCGATGCGACCGCGCCGATAGAGCTGGAAAGGTCAACAACAAGCTCTGAAGTGAGGGCAGGAAATTACCTGTAGGTCGACGTAGAAGGGTTGCAGGTGTAATTTTGGAAACCCACACCCAAGGTAACGTAGAGAGGAGCCGTCTTGGGCGCTACCAGGGCGGTCTGGTTTTTTGGGAGATCCATTACCGCTGCGGCCAGGTCGCATTTGCTTTGGCGGCTCTTCCAGGGCCCGAGGCTCGGAGCGCCAAAAGCCGGGAGGACAAGAGAGGCTGCAAGTAACGAGAGAACTGAGAACATCGGTCTGAGAGGAAAGATGTCGAGTCTGGGATGAAAATAGCGGCCTGGTAGTCTGCACGGTTTTATAAGATTTTACGAGACTCATTTGGGACACCGGAATCGAGATTGATCTGCCAGCGATGTCAACAAGCTGAGTTGCTGTGAAGCGGAAGTGTAGGATGACTATCAGAGCAATGACGTGAGGCTAAAAGTAAGAAAGGTCGAGGCAAGAGATGTCGAGTTTGGGTTCGAACCAGCCCCAGGCCCACACGCGAATGACAGAGGCTAAACCGTCTAAACATCCTGCAGAATGGTCTAAAGGCGGAAAACTGCATAGCCCACATCGTGGCCGCCGAAGAGCGCCAACAAGCCGTCGCATGCCAATCGTACAACTGGCATCTTTTCACCGGCTCCGGAGAGTTTGATGAGCGTTTTGACGAGCGGGAAGAGATTGAACAAGTGATAGAGCGGCCACGTCTGGAGATCAGGAGACTGCCAATCAGGACATGGACGTAGAAGAATCTTGCGGATGTCTGGTCGTAGAACTGCGCTGCGGCCTATTCACAGTAGATGGAGGTGGTGTGAAGATAGGACGGAGTGGAGGAGACTCGTGGAGTTCAGTCCGCCCGTACGTAGAATCACCAGAGGGTTGAGGAGACCTTCCGTGATTCATCGTAGATTGGGGGAACATGGAGAACGTGGCATGCCGCGACGATGGACGTGAGGTGACAATGCCTGCGCTTGGGTTACATTGAAAGAGAGATGGCCCTGATGAGGAAAGAGTGTCAAAACTGTGGTCTCATAACCAGCGCCGCTGATTGCACCGATAACAAAGAGATAAGTGGTGACGTTTCCCGGCGGGCTGGATCCGACTTTATTTCTGTGGACGGAACGCGCGACGCCGTGGTTGTATGGCTTTTCAAAGACGGACGCGATGTCTACGAGCCACGTGCAAGAGGTGAGGGAGCGCGGGCTCAATGTGTCAGGAGAGGGATCCAAAGGCAATCGCTATGTTAGCCATGCGTTTGCTGACCCGAAGCAATACTGGATTGCGGTCCAACGGGTTTGGGACGAAGCAGTGATCGTGAAAGGTCAAAGCAAGTGGTAATTGATTGTAAATATATCAGGTCAAGAGATTAGATGCTATCAGGATGTGATGTTACTTTCAGTACAGGAAGTACTTCGCCGTGTATTTGACTGAGATATTCGCTGAACCAGCAGCACACTGTGAGCCTCAATCAGCAATACTCAAACGTGAAGCAGCGTTCAAGAGCTCACAGAGGTGGGAGGTTGTCCGCCAACTGTATCGATCCGGAAAATCTTGGATGCGAGCGAGCCTTGTACACCGTTCACGGCGACCCAATCGAGATTTGCCGCCGGGTTGTTTGGGGCAGGGATGTCTCCAACTTTGGTTCCGATCACGATGGCAGATGCGTTGTGTTGCGGGATGGAAAAGTCCCACTCGGGTGAGATGCCGGTGCCGGTGGGTGAGTGGACGAAGTAGTAAGACTGCAGGCAAGGTCATGTCGGTTTCTCAAGTCTTAACACGGCAAAAACTGACCCCAAGTAGTGCATTGGTCCTAGTCGCGGCTAGAACGGGGCTCAGAGTCATCGCTGATGTCGCGCCGCTCCAGATATCAAAAGCGGTCTGCTGGATAGTCGCAAATGCAGGTGTTTTGTCCACGCATGAGATGTCGAAAATCAATGCAACCGCACCAAGATAGCTGGGTGGGTCAGCAATAAGCTCTACAGCGACCGCTAGAAAGTCACCTGTAGGTCAAGGTAGAAGGATCGCAGGTATAATTCTGGAAACCGACGCCGAGGGTCACGTAGAGAGGGGACGTCATAGGTGCTACGAGCGAAGTTTGATTTGTTGGAAGATCCATCTCCGCTGCAGTCAGGTCGCAATTGATTTGGCCGCTCTTCCAGGGCTCGGAAGTAGGAGCAGAAAAAGTAGGGAGAACGAAAGAGGCTATGAGTAACGAGCGGACGGAGAACATGTCGAGGAAAGGAAGGTGCAGGAAAGGAAGGTGTTGACGCTGGAATTATGATAGAGGCCGGGTAGTCCGCAGGGTTTTATCAGTTCTTGCGAGACTCATTCTGACCACAGGAATCAAGATTGGTGTGTGGATGATGTCAAGAAGCTGAAGTTTCCGTGAAGCGGGAGCAAGATCTGCAAGAGGCCAAATACTTCGGTAATGACACCGCGGCGGCAAGGATAATTCCATTGGCTATCATATCAATGATTCGAGGGCAAAAACGATGGAAATCGAGGCCGAGAAAGTCGAATTCGGGTTCGGTCATGCCCACATGACAATGACGGACCGCAATTCTCCTGCAGAATAGACTACAGGCAGAAAATCGTGTGGTCCACGTCGTAGCTCCGGAAGAGGGCCAGCAAACCGGCGCGTGCCAATCGCATACCCTGCCATCTTTACGCAGGCTCCGATAAGCTGGATAGGAGGGAAGAGATCAAAGACACAACGGAGCGTCCCCGCCTAGAGTTCGTAATCCCGTGTGAGTGGTTCATTAGACTGCCAATCAGAGCATGCTCGCAGTATCTCAGTGATGCCCGGTCGGAGAACTCGGACGGTCTCCTGCCACCCAGGACGTTCAGATACTGGCGTCCGGTATGATTCAGCTGCATGATCGTAAGGCGGGTGCAGTTCCCGCGCATGAGTCTTGCCAACACACGAAATGCCTCTGCGCCCGCTGTGTCTGGTCGGCTACGGAGGACGAGATCCCCAGCCAGGGTGAAATGGCGTGATGATATACTGAAGTCGCCGGTCACAACCATGCCCCATTCGAATGCAGCCCATCGAGAGTAAAGAGACAAGTGGTGGCGATTCGGAGCTCCGCCGAAGAGATGTGGGAGAGGATCGTAGCGGGCGACCTGTCACAGATGTGATTCGACCAAGCAGGCGCGGGGGAGGAAATTAGGAGCCTTGACCAGTGTTTTCAGGGTGGTCCGTCTGCAAGAGAGCGTGATTGGCTCAAGGAGTCAGAATCCTTTGGTCAACGCTATCAAACCGTATTGACCCATTGTTGACCCACCACCGTCGGGCGACACGTGATGGACTCGGTCTGGCGACTGATCACATTCTGGCGTGATGTGAGGCTCTCCTCCGTCAATATGTGCTGAAGTTGAGAAACAAGCAGAAAATTATCCTGACCCCATTCAAAAAGCGTTAACGGTGTTTGAGGCCGCAGCAAAATTGTGCCCCTTGGAGTAATACCGTTCGAACGAACTGATGCTAGATAGTTTGGACCTCAAATGTGCGACGTTGACCTTATCGGACTGTCTAGAATTCCGACGCAGAACCTTCAATACGCAGGCTTGATGCAACTATTCACATAACGATGAGGAGCTATTTGGGCCTGCTGAAAACTCCCTACTCAGCACAGTGCTCCGATGGCTGCTCCCCCATCCCTATCCGCAGGTCTGACCTTTCATGCTGAATCAGTTCACTTGGCTGACGAAATTAGGCAGTTGAAGTAGCCACGTCTGTTTATCCACCTCGCCATCGCCATCCCCCACCGCCATCTCCCGAATGTGGGCGGCATCGTATAAAGTGCCCGTCGCACCTCTGCAACATCACGACAATGATCTGGGCACCTTGCGTGCAGCAAGTCGCTAACCTGATGACGACGCAGCTCCTCTAGACCGAACTCCGTGCCCGTCCTGCCCTAGGCGTCACGGATCTGCCACAGGCCTAGACATGTTTCTGCCCGGTATGCTTAATCCAACGTTACTCAATGGGTCGTTCGAGAGATCGGGATGTAGGCCATGTGTTTGCTGAGCCGAAGCGATTCTAGAATGCGATCCAAATTGGGACGAAGCAGATAGCGGGAAAGGTCGAAGCAAGTTGTAGAAGGTTTTGAGAAGCAGATTAAATGGAGAGATTAGATGACACTATTAAGATAATATGCCCTGATGTTACTCTCAATACAGAAAGTACTTTGCCGTGTACTTGACGGAGATGTTGGCTGAACCAGCAGCACACTAGGAACATCAATCGGTCAGCAATACTCAAAAGTGAAGCAGGATTCGAGAACTCACGGAAGTGGGAGGTTGTCCACCAACTGTATCGATCCGGAAAACCTGGGAAGCGAGCGAGCCCTGTACACCGTTCACCGCGAGCCAATCGACATTTGCCGTTGAATTGTTCGGGGCGGGGATGTTTCCCACTTTGGTTCCGATCACGATAGCAGATGTGTTGTGCGACGGGACGGAAAAGTCCCACTCAGGTGAGATGCCGGTGCCGGTGGGGGAGGGTACGAAGTAGTGTGACTGCGAGAAAATCAGCTTTTGGTCTGCAGCAAGTCTTGATATGGCAGAAACTAACCCCGAGCAGGGCATTGGTCCCAACCGAAGCTAGGACGGCCTGCAACGTGATCGTTGGTGCTGCGCGGCTCCAGGCATCAAAAGCGGACTGTTGGATACTCGTGGAGGCGGGCGCTTTATCCATGCATGAAATGTCGAACAGTAATGCGACCGCACCGATAGAACTGACCGGTTCAGCGACAAGATCTGCGGCGACCAAAAGAAACTCACCTGTACGTCGAGGTGGAAGGATTGCAGGTGTAATTCTGGAAACCCAGACCAAGAGCAACGAAATGGGGAGGCCTCATGGGTGCCAAGAGCGCAGTTTGATTCGCCGGAAGATTCATCTCCACTGCAGTCAGGTCGCATTTGGTTGGGGCGTTCTTCCAGGGCTCGGGAGTGGGAGCAGCAAAAGTACGGAGAAAAAGACAGGCGGCGATTAACGAGTGAACAGAGAGCATTTCGAGGAAAAGGAAGGTGTTGAGGCTGGAATGATGATGGAGGCCGGGTGGTCTGCAGGGTTTTTATCAGCTCTTGCGAGGATCATGTTGACCATAGGAATCGAGATTGGTGTGTTCATGATGTCAAAAAGCTGAAGTGGTCGTGAAGCGGGAGCATGCACTGTAAGAGGCTAAATACCTCGGTAATGACACCGCGGCGGCAAGCATGATTCCGGTTGCTATCATAGCGATGACGCGAAGCCAAAAGCGATGGATGTTGGGGGCGATAGCGCCGAGCTCGGGTTCGAACCAGGCCCACATGACAATCACGGATCGTACTGCTCCTGCAGAATAGTCCACAGGCGGAAAACCGCGCAGTCCACATTTCGGCTCTTGAGGAAGGCCAACAAGCCGTCGCATGCCAATGGTATACCATGCCATCTTTACACCAGCTCCGATAAGCTTGATGGGTGGGAGGAGATCGAAGACGCGACGGAGTGTCCCCGCCTGGAGATCGGGGTCCCGTGCGAACAGTTCATTAGACTCCCAGTCAGAGCACGCCCGCAGGATCTCGGGAATGTCTGGTCGGAGAACTGCGCTGCGGCCTATTCCGAGTAGATGGGCGTGATGTGAGGACAGGACAGAGTGGAGGAGATTCGGCGAGTTCAGTCCACCAGTCAGCAGAATCAGCGGAGGTTTGGGGAGACCTTCCACGATTTGCATTGCGGATTGTGAGAACGTGGCAAATGTGGCCTGCCGCGACGATAGACGTGAGGTGATAAAGTCTGTCCTTGGGCTGCATTGAGAGAGATGACGCTGATAGGTAAATAGAGTCGAACCTGGGTTCTCATAATCACCACCGCTGATTTCGATGAAATCAAACAATCCCCAGCTTGCGATGGTGCGAAAGTGCTCAAACACAAGGGTGGTTTCACTGGTCGAGTAATCGGCAGAATTGATCTTGATCCCGAGCACGAAATCGGAGGGTACGCTCATGCGAATGCCGTCGGCTATTCGATGAAGCAGTTTGAGTTCTTGAGCTGAGTAATCATCTGTTCGCTGGTTTGACTGCATATCGTATGAGACAGGTGCTAGATCCAATGACACCGCTGCACACCTTGGAAGACATGAATTGAGCGAGCAAGTCTGCGACCGTTGCATTCAGAGAATCGTATAATTGCCATCGGGAGCTCTACTCACAACCATGAGCAGCGTGAAGTTCGACACCGTCAAATCCGGTATCCACTGCAAGTTTCGCACCCCGGACGAATTCATCCACGACCTTGTCAATATCATCCAGCGACATCTCCCGTGGGACCTGGAACATCAGCCAGTTTATTAAACTAGCCAGCATTCCCTTTGTCGGCATCCGTTGGGAGTCGGTGGTGGCAGGGTGCTCAGATCCGACACGGATGGAGCTCGGTCCTAACGGGGGAGCAAACGGTGTCCTGCCACCCAGGACGTTCGGAGACTGGCGGCCGGCATGATTCAGCTGCATGATCGCAAGGCGGTTGCCGTTCCCGCGCATGACTTTCGCCAACGCGCGAAATGCCTCTGCGCCTGCTGCGTCGTGTTGGCTAGGCAGAACGAGATCCCGGGCCAGGGTGAGATGGTGTGGTGAGATGTTGACGTTGCCGGTGATGACCATGCCCCATTCGAATGCAGCCCATTGAGAGTAAAGAGACAAGTGGTGACGGTTCGGGGGTCCGCCAAATAGATGCGCGAGATGTTCATAGAGTGCGACCTGCCACGGATGTGATTCGAGCAAGGAGACGGGGGAGAAGATTGCGAGCCTTGACTAGTCTGTTGGGGACGGTCCGTCCGCAGGGGAGGGTGATTGGCTCGAAGACGCCTTGTTTGTCATTACATGCCATTTTGGGCTAACGACGGAGAGCGAATAGTGTGGATCCGGAGAAGGCCGGCAAATCGATCGATGACAGCTGCAGCCATATTCCCACCGGAACCCCGTGAATGCTGAACGAGTCTGAACCCTGACATCAGCTCATGCATGCTACGGACGCCCAGAAAGATGCCCGCCGTTGAAAACTCACGATCGCTTAAGTGCTTGTTCTTCAGTCGACGGAGCGTGTGCGGATGGAGGAGAGGGGTCATCTAGTTGAATCGCTGCTTGGTGAACGGAGAACTAGCGCTTGCGGGACTCTCCTTTCATCCATGCCTGTTCTCAGTCAAAAACTCACAAGTTATGCGTGCGCCGCTCTCTTTTCTCGGCGCGGACTCGCCAAGGTCGCACTTCTATCCACCATATGCACATTTCTCTTCCTGCTCCTTCCTCTCCCTGCGACGCGTCTCGCGGTGGGTAGTGGGATATACAATTATGACACCGAGTCCGCCTCGATGCTCCTGCCTCTTCACGATCTGCCCAGCACGCACTGGGCGCAGCACAATCAACTTACCATGAAATCGCTCTTGGCGTGCCTGGCGGCCGGTACGTGCCTTGAGAACCAAAAGAAAGGTGAGATATTTTCACGCGCCATTCGAGGCTCTGAGAGCTGACTCGAACTGCCAGTCGTTCTGCTCGCCACGCCCGACTTCAAGAGTAGCCTAGAAGGGCACAATGGCGGGGAACAGGTTTGGGCTCAGTCTACGGTTCGCAACGTCCTCCATTTCTGGCATAGATTACTGAAATCACCTAGACTGCAGCACTTAGGAACCTTGGCTACAGCTTCTTGTATGCCCAAGGACGGCGCGATGATCCTGGAGGCGACATGTTCGCGGCTGCACAGTTCCACCGGATGTTTCCCGATCTAGTCAAAGTCATCCTCGCCAGGAAAGATAGTGTCACAGCCTGCTTCGAAGACTCGTTCCTGCAATGTCTTCGCACCGACGACAATCCGTATGGTATCCCTGCGTACAAGCTGTTGACAATTGATTTCTGGGAGCGACCTGCTCATCCATATGGGAGAAAGTGGACGCTGTCACCAGAGGACGTGCGTGGATGATGTTCATGAACTCGAATCTCTCTGACAAGCACTGTAATTAGTACCATCATATCGACAGCAGCATCTTGGGCAACACGTATCTTGGATACAGTCCTGAACCGCTTTGCAAATCACTTGCCTTTATTCCGCATTCTCAACGGCCCCGGCCCCGAAAAGCTTACATCTTCACGAAGAGCATGTGGCGCTTCGAAAAGCCGCATCACGAATGGGAGTTTGAGTTTTACGACCAGGCTGCGGAGGAGACGGGTGTGCATTTCGTCGTTGGTGCTGAAGGAACACCGCTGCCCGGTTTCCCGAACCACATTGAAAACGTAGGTTTGCTGTCCCAGGATGCGTTCTATAAAGAACTTGCCAATTCGTCACTACTTGTGGGAACTGGGTATCCATGGACGTGCGTGACAATCGTGTGCCAAAACGAATGGTGCCCTTTTGACTGACTGAGTTCGTCAGTTCGCCGACCCCGTACGATGCGCTGTGCCTTGGAATACCCTTTCTGAATCCCATCAAATCGGTGTGTTCTGTGTCTGATCATGACGGATTTCACTCATATATCTTGATAGTGGGATCACGCCGATCCAAAGAATCGGGATAAATGGGTCGCCCAACATGGGACACTCAAGTTTTTGGACCCTCCCTATGTATACAACGTTTTCCACGGCGACAAAGAGGGTTTCATCTCGGCCGTGCGTCAAGCCTTGAATAATCCTATTGAAAGGCAAGCCAATTCAGGCTCTGCATACCACTTGCATTGACACAGTCGTGATCAGCTACATTCCGGAGGAGATGCAGATGTCAGCTGTCGAGAAGCGACTCCAGAAGATAGTGGAAACAGATTGGGAAGCGGAAGCCAGGACTGTGAGATTGCCTGCATGAGAGCGTTCGGATGTGTACGACACGAGGATGACATTTGGACAACAGCCTGATATCTAGAGTTTTCCGCCTCAGGCGAACCATCAGCTTCTCGATGCCGGCTTTTATCATTGGAAACTGGTCGATCGACGACTTGATGTTGTGATGATCGCCTGATTTGACTATCCTGCGATGGACTGAGCGTGCCGCGGTCGCTGAGCCTTGCACATGAATACAATGTAGATCAATTCGTAAGGCAGGAATCCCTAGCGGGGCGGGGCTAACAGTGAGAGGATAGATGATAATCTTGGGCTTCATCAAGCCTATGCCTAAGGCCCAGTCCAGGTCCAAATTGGCTGCACGATGAGATGGTCCACGAGACTAGCGTCCGTGATCGACATGGAAAGACACTTGGTTACACGGAACTTGACTGTCGGTCTCTTCATGCTTTGAGTCTGAGTTAGAGAAGACGACCTCTGCCCCGAGGCAAACAAGCCAGCGAGATGACCAAGGCCGCCGAGTCCGACGACGCAGACACGGTGGCTGAGGCGAATGTCATGGGCATCGACGATCTCGAGCACAGTCGCGCCAGTATAGATCATCGGAGCAGCAGCGTGCTCGGGTCCCAGCCCTCAGAATTGCCAAAGAAAAGTCTGCTTCCACATAGCATACGTGACGAAGGAGTTCTGGTCCAAATTAGGGGTCCCGCACATCTCCCGCTCCCAGCAATGGTGTTCTTGGCCTGGGAAACGAGATATCAGCGGGGGCATGAGGGGCTAGGCAGCTGATGGATACTGTTTGAGCATTGCTCACACCCTCACACGTCCTGTGGATGAACCCCCATCCGACCACTTCCACGACATCTACAAGCTTCTCATCAGGACCGACTTGCTCAACTGCACCCAGATTTTCGAGCCCGAGAGCCATGGGGAGTCTTGTAGTACTCGTCCGATCCGCAGACGTCAGATTGGGTGATGCAGACGAGGACCTGGATTCCGTTTGGTGCGGGCTGTGTCGAGGTAGCCTGGACGGTGCCGTCATGCTGAGAGTCATTGAAGATAGTGAGTTCTACGCTCATGGATGTGATAATCTTGAAGCACCAGTTCGGGCTAAACCAAAGTTAGAAGTGGGCCGAGTTGCAATGTGACTACGCCACACCACAGGCCCCGGCTCATATGCAGACTTCGATGATGCCGCGGGTTCACAATGCAGCCGTCTTTTGTCGGTCACGTTGGAAAGGCACTCAAAAAGATGGTCAGGGCAGGGAGGGAACCGAAACCAGAGAACGTGAGATGCGGCTGTATGAACTCCTGTCGTGCTGGGACATTCTCCTCAAGTAAGCTCGGCACTGATATCCAAGTTCCAGCAGTCTAGAGTGTATCAAAGGAAATGCTCACACACCTTCTGGAAAGCTTGACAATGTTCTGGATTCAGGAGCTGCCATCTAGAGCGCACAAGACAACTTCACGACCACTCGTCTGTATATTCGAGATTCCTATGCAGTCTGTGATTACGGACATCTGGAAATATGTGTTCGCATAATAAGCGGGTGGCATTCAACTTCATAGGACTCACTCGAATCATCCCTCTAGTCGTCCGGTCGATTCGACCTCTTCCTGACCCGTACTCCATGGAATGCTGACAACAGGCACCGAGCTATGCAAACAATCGTGAAGAACAAAGTCGCCGCTCCCTCCGGGACTGAGGCAAAATCGCTTACTTGACCATCGGGCCCGCGGGAAGCCAGCCGTCCCGAGAAATCCCGTCGGCTTGTATAACTTGAACTCTGGCTTCGATGAAGATTGCATGGTCATCGTACGAGGGTTGGAATTCCGACATTCTTTCGCGCAGGCGAACGCAGGGGATGCGGTAGTTTCCGCAGCGGTCAAGCAATAAGGTCCGAGAAATCTGAGGGTGGGGAACGTCCAGGAAGGATATCACCGAGAAGGTCTAGCGAGGTCTGGAGCAGGCTAAAACGATGTTTCTAGAAGTGGGACGCCGGCAAGTAGTAATGCAAAGCAAGTTCACATCTTAGATACAGCTGCCAGCCTTGCGTCGGCGGTTCGAACCGTCAGGCTTGCGAGGTTGAAATTCAGCCCGTAAGCCGACCTTCAGATAGAATGCATCATCCAGGGTACTGCATTTGACGGCGAGTATTCCCTCGGAGGCTAGCCATGAGAACAACCCGCCATGTGTATTCATCAGCCGCTACAGGCCGGAACCAGCTACTTGGATTCTTCTCCGTTGGCAGGAATAAGCCCCACTCGCGTTGCAACGCCGTCGGCTTTCGAATCCAGGGTGTTCTTGTGATCCCGCAGGCCGTGGGCTTTCTGCTTTTCGAATTCGGAGTGAACCTTCTGCGCCTGGTCTTTCTACAGCGTGTCGTCAGCCACAATTCGAGTGGTTGGGCCCCACTGCAAGGAAGACGATGTCCGCACCGATTTCGTTCCGTGTACACACTCTAGGTAATCGTCCCGCTCTAGCTTGCATTCGAATTTCGGGGCGTCAGACAGGGTATGGCATTTCGCGAAGGCGCGCCAGAAGTCGGAGCATTTGGAGGCGCCGCCGCTGAATCCGTGTCCAGACTGTGCAAGTCGACAGGTCAGCGAATGGTACCATCATCTGAAGAAGTCGGGCGTGTTCACCATTGGGGTCGAGAGGAAGGTTGTTTGGCGTTCGTAAATAGGGATGACAAGAAGTGGATGACGCGCGGATCCAGTGACATCGCGGGCTCGCTCCTCTCGTTGCGGCTCGCTTCATTCTTTCCAGTCTTTTGTCTTCTATCCATCGGTGAGCTTTCCGCTTGCAAAACAAGGAGATCATTCACGTATCGGATGCCACTTAGTCTACAGTAAATGGCAGACCAAGCAGAAATCGCGTTTCTTCGTACCCTCAGCAACACGCTGTCCGCCCAGCCAGTTGTATATGGCGACAACTACCAGCAGCCGCCGGAAAACTGGCTCCCCAAGGTCCCTGTCATAAAGGTGCTCGTCCCTCTCCCAGTTAGATTGAACTGGCCTCACAATCATCCTAATTCCGCAGATCCCAGTGCCTGCCCCACCGTC